ACCTTTTCCTCCTTTGGAAACTGGGCTTCCTCGGCTGGCTTGCTGTTGGACCTTGATCGATAGTATTAACGGGCCCATACGGAATAAGAGGCTTCTTTAAGGATGCACCCATATCAGCACACACACTGCTAGAGATTGTAGGTGAAACTGTTTTCCTTTTAAGCTGCCTTGGGATTTCCAGCCTTTCAAGAATTCTTGAAGTTTTTTCATCGACTTCTCTGTTGTTGTGCAATGGTGATTCATCCATCTTTGGCTTGGACATACAAGTGGGAGAATTCATGTTGAAAACATCAGTTATAACAAGTTGTTCCCACTCCTCAGTAATGCATGCACTCACTTTATCTTCTGAATGTTTAATATCTAACGGCAATATTGGTTGGACATCAGCCGAGGAATCTTGTAGGGTCGAGCCTGACTCTGAGGTTGCTTCTTTCGTTTTAGGAGGTATTGCCCTAAAATAACAAAACAAATAATTTATCATGGCAATTACAAAAATTAGTCAGGTAGGCATTAGGCAATGAAAAATCAGATGTTAAAAGGTAAAAACCATTTATTTCAATCGCAGATCTGATGAGATGAATACCCAAATTGTAAGCTCTCTTTTACAAGCAAGTTCAGTTTTTGGTGGAAGCCTCTCTCGTGCTGGACCGGATTGTACTCACTCACTTCCATCTGGAACAATAGTTCACATTACATTGTCTACCCAAGGTTGCACAACAAAGAAAATTTCAAAATATCAACTAAATTTTAATCTTCCGCCAGTTGAGCACCCGTGCTAGCATGCACTCAGATAACCAATCATTCATTTGGTCAAAAGATCAGATCATATCAATTCAGTTGTCTTTATCCGGTTAAGTGTGTGTCTCTCTATTGAACACCAAGCAAAACCATTCATTAATTGAGATCCACAAACTGCAGGCTTGAAAACAGAAAGAATCTATCCAGTTCCTATCCTCTCTCCTCAAATTAGTAAGCGAAGCATCAAGTCCCACAACCCACCTCGTGGAGAAGTGCTACAATATCTGAAATAATCAAAGGACCTGTCTCTCTTTTGTTCGCTTGTATAAGCTGAAATTAGCAACTTTTGTTGCTTTGATGTTTAACAATTTCAGTTCAGAATAGAAATCTAGATGCCCAAATGAAAAGAAATCTAATTCATATGTTCGATTCGTCCTTAAAAGCTTAATTTACAGATATCGCTTCAGAATAGAGATCTAGATACCCGAATGAAAAGAAACATTTACAATGAGAGAAGAAATGTTATAATGGAAAAATTCAACCTTTAGCAAAGAAGCTTGAACTGTGTTTTCAATCTCTTTA